TTGCTCAAAGTTATCAACCTACTTCAGTACTTGTCCAACTTATGAACTGAATTTTGATCTGGGTTCTATTTTGAATTTTTCTTCTTCAAAGACTTACGTGGGCAACACGAAAAAGCAAACCAGTTTAAAAAAAAAAGGAATATGATATCATATATAATATATAGGCTACTGACCAAAGTTTTCTGTGTAAGGCAGTTAGAACATATTCTGATTTAAAATAAGAATAACTTTAAGGCACATATATTATAGTATTTATGTAGTTTGCAAAAGAAGTTTACATTTTTTTGCTATTGTGGTGTAACATTTATGTGCAAGAACTACTTGTAATAATAGAATTTGAGAAGTAATGCTTTTAGATATAAAATAGAGAGTATTATGATTTGCAGGTGTAGATTTCATGAGCTCTGTGTTGTAAGAAGCTTATATCAAAGACACCTATAAAAATAAAATTTTAAAAAGATCTGTTCTCTCTTGTTGGGGTACATTACTGCTATGCATTTTTTTTTCTAAATAAAGATAAAGTTTGTGGTAACTATGGCACACATTTCTATTGCAAAAGAAAAATCAAATTTGCCATGAAGTACATACTCTGGATGTTTTATGTAAGCATTTTGAATCTACAGCTGGCCAAAGGGTGGAGAATTGAAATTGAATTCCAGTCCCCAAATAGCTACTAAGGGATCTTTAAAGGTTTTATTTTGAGGAAAGAACCATTTTTACTACCCTGCAGCCGACTGTCATATTCGGAATGGTGTCTGGAGGGGATCCAAAATGTGGAAATGCAGGGTAGATATATATAGTTTTTGTTTTTATGCACACACATATCTCAGTGATGGTACAAGAGTAGAAAAATCATGTATATTTGGAAATGACAAGTGCCAGGGGTCACAGAATTCATCGAGACCTCTCAGCAAACCTGGCCTTAATAGGAAAGAAAAAAATTTTTTAAATAATATTCCTCTGCAAATTCTAAGATCCCAAGCTTATCTGTAAGTCATTAAGATAGTAATACTGAAAATGTCACCCAGAATTTATCAGATCAGCCCTTGACTTTAAACATAGGTTACTCCCTAACCAAACAAGATTTCATATTCTTCTGAAATTTGCAGTACTCTCCAAGGTGTTCTGATCAATCTATATTGGTAAGAGAACTTGGTTATTCATAAAGACTGCCTGCTTGGAAAGAAGTAATTTTAAAAATAATAAACTGTTAAAATTTCTTGGTAAATTTTTTTAATTGAGTAGTACATTTGGGACAAGTGTGTGATAATCCAATTACAAGTAATACAAAACCATAAAGTAAATGTAAGATTTCAACAAAGTTCTAGTTACCCTCATAGTCAGCACTTTGATGATTTTTACAAATACTAAAATTTGCTAGGCTTGGTGGTGCACATCTGTAAGCCCAGGTATTTGGGAGGCTGAGGCAGGAGGACTGCAAGTTTAAAGATAGCCTCAGCAACTTAGCTAGACCCTAAGCAACTTAGGGAGACCC